TTTGGATATTGTTGCCCCTCATCGTGATTGGTCAAACATCTGAGCGTGCAGTCATATTATTCCAACAGCAGATGGAGACTCTTTGGCTTATTGCTAGCTGTAGCAGTTAGACATTAGTATTAAACAGTAATTTCACTCTACCTTTGTTGCAAAAGGGAACTGAGTTACCCCATGTATATTTTCTACATACAAATAACAAATATATTCAGATAAAACGCTCATATTTGGATGTAAGCTTATTAAGCTTATTGCACATGTGGCAGTCACAAGACTCAAGTCATAAAGATTTTACTCACCTGTATGTGCACCTGACGTGTGTGTGTGTGTGTGTGTGTGTGTGTGTGTGTGTGTGTGTGTGTGTGTAGAATATTTCTCTCTGCTGTGGCTGTGTAACGATGACGCACGTTTTCGAGTTGTATTAGAAGGTGACAAGAAGAATTAATAGCTAAAAATATTTACCTTCTAATACCATATAGCTTATTGTATTTCCCCCACAGACACACACAAATACATAGACTTTCCACAGTTCTACGTGTTGCAAATCTTTAAAAAAAACCTTAAAACACAGAGGGAGATTGACAGAGCTAAAAATAAAAGTGTCTTTCGTTTGTTTCTAATCCTGTCAGGGGATGGAGTACCTGCAGAGCCTGCGTTATGTGCACCGAGACCTTGCAGCCCGAAATATCCTTGTAGCCAGTGAGACACTGGTAAAAATCGCTGATTTTGGGCTGACCAAGGTCATTCCACATAATAAGGACTACTACCGTGTCACCCAACCAGGAGAGAGCCCCATCTTCTGGTAGATTTCCACTAGTTTCACCAATAAAAATCTAATAACTGCTTTTCAATGAATCAGCTGCTTTCTTGTGTCGATGGTGTGGTTACTAGCTGTTAATACTTCCTAATATGACTAAATGAAAGACACGAATAAAACCAAACATGAGACAGTGCTTATTTTTAGAAGAAATGCTTCTCAGAAAAGAATATGTAATGTTGAAAAGTGAAGCATAAGCTATGAGATAGATTTCCTCTGCTTGAAGATCACAGTTGCCCCATTACTCGGGATTATTCTGTGCTCTAATGGTCATGCATTTACTGCAGGTATGCCCCAGAGTCCATCACTGAGTCCAGATTCTCCCAAAAATCAGATGTCTGGAGTTTCGGGGTTGTTCTTCATGAAATCTTCTCTTACTGTGATATAAGTTTCAATCCGAAAAGAGTAAGAAAATGTACAATTGTTACAAATGTGTCTGGAAAATGCTTCAGCTTAAATATGGATTCCCATGGCTTACTGTTTTGTTTCAGCTTTATATGCAGGAGATTGGGCACAACGTGCTGGGTACATCCATTTCAGTGCATCTGGCAAATCTACTGAAGGGTAACTGGAGGTTACCACCACCTTTAAACTGCCCGCCCAAGGTACGTTTGCTCTGTGCGGTCGAAACTGTAGTTTTTTCGGAATACTTTTTGATCTTTGCTATTGTAAGTAAATCAGACCTTTGGAGAAACGACTTTCTTATCTGTCTTACATCAGCAATAAAGTAATTTCCCTTCTATCCTTTTATTACACAATGTTTATCCTTGCTCATATTACTTTCATTGTAATGCCAGGTGTACCTTATGATGAGGCAGTGCTGGGCACATGACTTTGATGAGCGTCCATTTTTCTCCAACCTTGGAAACGAAATTGAAACTATGATCCAGGATGAAAGAGAGAACTCTAAAGGCTGACGAGGATACAAGATACTTACTCTTTGTTCAAAAGGAAATCAAGTTTAAATGAGTACATGTTCACAAGTTCTCAGGAGTGAACATCCAATTATGGGAGTATGCGCAGGCTGACTTATTTATGATAAATCTCTGGGTACACTGGTTCTGATAAGCTCTACTTAGGCTCTTTCAAGTTGATATCACAGCAAAGCCTAGGTTATTATATTTTTATATTTTTTATATTTTATATTTTTCCAGTTTTCACTCTGAACTTTTTGCAGATTTAATGGTTGCTAGAGATTGCTAGTTTTTTTGGGGTTTTTTTTTGGGGGGGGGGGGGGGGTTGTAACTGTTTCATAGCTCAGTAATATTCATAATCCTAACAGTAGTGTTTACACCCAACCTGGGCTCACAACGTTTTAAAAGTAGATGAAAAATATATGTTACCTGGATGTAACTTTAGTTCTCTGTGTTCATGCGTTGATCGCACTTACGAAAGATGCAGCAAAGCATAAATAAAGCTCTTTTCCTAAATCAAAATGTGTTTTTTGAGATGAGCGGGAGAAAGACAAGCTGGACAAGCTTATATAAAGCTAATAATAATAATAATAATAAGTTTATGTGGTAAAAAAAATATATATATGTATGTATGTATGTATGTATTAGAGATGGACCGTGTGTATTTGTAGCCTCGCTACCAATCCAGCATTTCATCTCCGAGGAAGTGATCCCAGAGAGAAGTAAAGCAAGTGTGTAACTTCATCTCTGAATGTTTATAAAGCATTCCAGCGTTAAGCTTAACAACGGATATATGGAGCGACTGCCTCTCTCTCTCCCTCTGCTCATAGCTGGACTGGCCATCGGCCCACCGGGCAATGGTGATTTTTCGTTTTTATGGGCCGATGATTTTTTCTGTTAACGGTATAAATAATGAAAGGTGGTGGATTGGTCAGATGCTGGCCGGTGTGTAAAAATAACTCAGTTGTTTGGGGGTGGCTATCACAGAGCTTCCACAGATTCAGTAACATTAGCAAGTGGTGGAGGACAGCAGGTGGATGAGGGAAAGGGGAGGCAGGAGGAGAGATGTCAGTAGTACAATCATCCAGCGACGAGAGGATCTGTGTTCCAGCCTCAAATAGTGCTCCCGGTGATGACGGGTGATTGTTGTCAGGTGTGTGTGTGGGCCAAGGGCGGGAGCCCACAGTGAGCTCCGCCCAGACAGAGAGGGAGAGAACAGAAACAGCAAATGTAGCCTTGTGGGGCCGACCGGGCAGGCACGGAGACCATGACAGCGCCAGAAAGAGGAAACCAGCGGATGTCGTGTTAAACAACAGCTGCAAGTTTAAGCTTTATCAGCTGTTGTTAGAGTTTATTTAATATTAATTTCAAGTATCAGCTTACGTTTGCTGGAGCCACAGCTGTAAAGCTGCTGGTCATGATATCGGTTTGGATATCTGGTGAGAGGTAAACATGAAGATGAAACCAGGAGATGTCCTTACTGAATCATCAGAGCTGTGATGGAGAAACAGGTTTACCTTTTAGGTGACTTGAATGAGTTAAAGGGAAGTTATGAACTGTTTCTGAGAGACAAATAACACCAGGATCCTTTTTTACGCTGACATCTGGTAACTGTGCAGGGGCGGGTCTAGCAAAGTTTTGCCAGGGGGCCAGGTAGGGCATTAACAGGGAAAGGGGGGCACAAAGAAATACGTCCTTATTCTCGTTTAAAATGTCTAGCTTTTAATAAATAATTATCTGAATCTTACACCCAAAGTTTTAATCTGATGTAAAATGTATAGAAGTCCATTACTGTTATATAGTAACTATTAAGTCTAATATACCCTAGTAAGCTATAGTACTTTTTCCTTTGAGAAGGTACCATCTGTGCAGTCTGCAATTCTGTTGAAGAAAGATGTTGAATCTATTTAATTACTCTTGAAAAATAATTGATTTCTGTGCATTTGTTTTCACACTGCATCAAATTAAAGTTGATTATTTTGATTAAGCATCATGAGGTGGGGGTGGTTCCCTATTTTTTTTTTTTTTTTGCTGGGAGTTTTAGAAGCCTATTAGTTAGGTTGCTTACTCTTTAAAATACCAGAATAGGGAGGATGGAGTAGGTTTAAGTTTTTTAGATTGATCAGTTTTGCTGAACTATTAAATATTTTGGGTGCAGTGTATTTTTTGCATACAGGTATAACAGAATAGCTTTAATGTTTGTTTGTTTGTTTGTTTGTTTTTTAACTTGAGTATGAACTTATACAAAAAGCAGCAAGATATTAAAAAAACAGTTATATTGATTAAAAAACTCACTATATCGGATTCATATCGGTATCGGCCGATATCCAAATTTATGATATCGGTATTGGACATAAAAAAGTGGTATCGTGCCATCTCTAGTATGTATTAAGTATTATTTCAGAATAATTTGCACTTTTTTCTTTTGCCAGTGACTGAAGGAGAATGTAAGGTTGAAAAGCAGCTTGTTTAAGTTTTAGCTGTGTCTGAACGGGTTTGAAATATTACAGAAACTTAAGCTTAAAAATGTGCAGATTTTTTAATGCAATATTGTATTTTCTTCATTGTACACTGTAATACACTGTGTTTTGCATTCCTGACTTGTATGAAATTCTTAAAGCTTATAGTCCAGTTACACACAATGGTAGAAATAAAGTAAGTATATTTACATATAAGTATATTAATATAATTCAGAATTTCAAGACATGCTTGTTTTTTTCAGTATTTTGATTTTATCTTAATTTCACCCCAATACATTTATGATTGACTGATACAATGATTAACCCAATACATTCAAACCAGTTTGACATGGGTCGACTTACACAGATGTCAGCTGTTAGACATTATTCTTAAAAGTGACTCTCTCTTACAAAACTTGTATTATTATATTCGTATTAGAAATAAACCACAACAAAGACTAGAGAGAAGGACCAAAAAGTACATACAAATTTGTTTTTCACAGTGTTCTCTCTATCTCTCATTACCTTTGACTCCATAGTTTTATCTTACCAAGCCTTTGACAGAATAATAGTGGGTAATAATTCTTCTGTGCTGTTACTCAACCATAATTGTGATAAAACTGCTTTTACTTATGTGTGAATGGGTAGTGTAAAGCGCTTTGGGGTCCTTCGGGACTAAGTAAAGCGCTATACAAATGCAGGCCATTTACTAGCATCGAAATGCTACTTAAAATGTCTTTGAAGTTTTCACTTAAGCAAAGCACTACAGTTTTTCTGAGATGCTATAACAAATACAGTATTGACAAAAGTCAAAGAAAATATGAATCTTCAGCGATTGCTACTATCGCCACATTTTAGATTAGGATCGTGTATTTTATGCCACATAAAATACATCCTAGCCGGGAGAAATCTGTGTACTAGTAAAAAGTCTTTGTAATAACAGGGGTCATAAAGATCCACTTTATTTGATGGGATGTGCAGTCCAGCAGTCTTGAAGCCCATGTGGGACACAGGACCAAGTCCTGCTTTGGCCAGACACATCCCCATGTAAACGTCATCAATGGGAAGAAGGTTAATGGATTTTGACATTTTGTATATGACCAAAGCTGTATAGTGAGACAGGAGGTAGCCTGCACCCCCACAGTAAGGAGGGTATGAGTCGGACTCATGCACCTGAACAGGAATATAGTACTTGCTGTTATTCCCTCTAATAGGCCCTTTTCCCTGGATAAGATGGCCAGTAAAGAGGTGCTGGCTTCCATCATTGTCCTTGAGGCTTTGCAGATACTCGACCATGTTGTCTGTGTTGGCAAAGACGTCGTCATCACCATTCAACAGGAAGTGAGCATTGGGACAGTTCCTTTCCATCCATTCAAGAAAGAGTATCTGCTTCAATGTAAGGTTGTAAAATGTGTCACTGAAATCCCATTGGAGGATGTCGTTGTGCTCCTGTTGCTCCAGCTCCAGGAGTTTGTTCAGCCTTTCCTTCTCAAACCCGCTCTCTGTCGTTCCTGAGATGAAGATCCGTCGAATCCACACACCGTTGTGTAACCTCTCTTCACCCCACGTTTTGCGCAGCACCTCTCTGCGTTCATAGTTCCCCGGAGAGCTTTTAATGACCAGAAGAAGAAAGACTTCTCCAGATTTGTCAGCTCCTCCACATTTGTCCGGAATGTCCAGTAGCATGGGGAAGTGGCGACAGTGGCGATAGTAGAGGAAATCCTTGATATGCTGAGGAAGTGTTTGGAATCCTGGGGTGTTGGCGGTAGATGTGTTTTGTTGACATTTTGACCACGAGGACATATGAGAGTTTTTCATAGGTGTCTTCTTTTGAACGCCTTTGCTTCTGGTAGTCACAGGTACAAAGTCAAACCCACGGTGGAAAAATCCAACCCTCCAAAGAAGGAAAATCAATAAAAAAAGAACTCCAGCTATCGGGAGATTTTTTGACTTTCTTATTCTCATCCTTTAAACTCTGCAAACCAAAACAAGGAAGAACTCTAACAACAATAACAGAAAAAAAGGTACGCATCAAAACCATTAGGACAAGTAATTACTAAGGCACAGCCGAGGAACAAATCAGTTACTGACTCACCGACCTCATTTCAGTTTTCTCTAACTGTCAGGTTGATGAAAATAGATTCATCTTTTGCTATAATATCAACAGGTGACACATATACTTATATTTTTAAAATAATAACCACATTAACTCATACAAACCTTAATGCAGTGAGATGTGGTGAAATGTGATAATTGTCTGATTAGCTTCATCAAAATCCAGATTTAATCCAAGTTTCAATTTCCCAGGACAGGCATAGTATGTTGATCACTTGAGAATCCAAAATTCACAGTTTAGTTTTGCAGTTTCTGTATAGTTTAAATGTAAGCTAGTCACTTCCTAAAAAAGATTTTATTCTGTCTGCTGCCACACCCTAAACCTCATAGCTGCAAGAACGGATGTTTGTTCTTGCGCCCAAAGATATGAGGGTTGCACCGAGCCGACTAGGCGGTGCTTGCATTAACGTAAACAGGATGATAAAGAAATATATCTGCTCTGACGTTTTCAAATATTTTAATGGGATAGACCGTGCACTCCCACATTTAATAATATATGTATTTAAAAAAGGGCTAGATTTACAGGTTTTAAGGTTCTGATAAACAGACAGAAAAGTACACTCTCCATGCTATTCACTCTTTCTCTTCACCATGGCCTCAGTACTCTTCTCTCTAGTTTTTATTTTTCTTACCCAGGCCTCTTAATTCTCTCCACCCTCCGCACTTACAAACTGCACTTGGGTAAATGTGATTAGCTGACAACACACCAAAACAACCCTGTTTCACTTAATGACTGTTTGGGACTGACCTCATTTTTATTTAATTTTTGTACTAGACTGTTTTGTTGACGATTTTCAAGCTTAGCTGATTGTTTGATTTCTAAAAGATGAAAATCATAAAACGATTCCAATGCTACCTTCTGATGGCCTTCGAGTGTACTACTACTAAAAGATTAAATATTAATATTAAACGTGAAAGTTTACATATAAAGTACTTGGCTTTTAAAAAAAAAACCTAAACCTATAATGCCCTTTGTATCATATTTGATTCATGAGATTCTGAGACCTCTATCTCATTAACATGATCAATACTTGCCATAATTTTTTTTGTCTAAAATGAACATTGTTGTTAACAAAAAGTTGCCAAAAATGACCAGTGTATCATATGCAATACAAAAAATATATAATAAATATAATAATAAAAATGTATCAAACACAACACAATATAGCAAAAGAATTGTTATGGATTTTGTCATCAGGGTTAATAAACATCTCAGTTCCAAAAAATCTTAGTTTTTTGATATGCTGGGTCTTAGAGGGTTAATGACTGTTTGGGACTGCACTGATTTTTATTTATTTTTTTGTACTAATCTTCTGCTTGTTTTGCTGATGGTTTTCAAGTTTAGCTGATTTGTTTGATTTGTAAAAGATGGAAATATTGAAATACTGAAATTAAACTTGAAAGTTTATGTATAAAGTATTTGGCTGTTTTTAAATAAGGAGAGCTCAAACAAGCTGAACCAGCACAGGCAGGTGCCCACTTAGATGCAGGAAAAAGCCACATTAAACCGAACTGTCAGTGCTGTAATTGTTAATAAAAATAAAAGTTGAGACATTTTGTATAAAAAATTTTGTATTTATTTGTTTGTTTTTTCATTCACATACTGTCCAAAGTGCTGTGGTTGTCACGGTTCTGGGCCAGTTTGACCCAGTATTTTGAGTTGTTTTGTTTTGGTGTGTTTTTGCATTATGGATTGTTTTCTTATTCTCTTGTAGTGTTTGTGGTGGTGATGATGATGATTATTATTAGAGTTTCATGTTTCTGTTTATCCGTGTTTAAGGATTTGTTGTTTCATGTTTTATTGTGAAGGTCTGTGTCTCATGTGAGTGTGTTCAGTTCTACTGCTCCCCTGTCTCGTTAGTCCCATTTCTCCCAGCTGTGTCTCCCTCCTGTTGTCCATTCCCTGATTACCACCCTGTGGATATTAGCCCTGTGTTTTCCTGTGCTCAGTGTTGCGTCGTACCCTCAGATCCTGCCTTTGTGTTCCTGTTTGGTTTCTGTTTTTGTTTCATGCCAGCAATAAAAGCTTTGGTTTTCAGTTACATTTTGTCTCGGAGTCCTGCATTTGGATCCACATTTCCACCTGACCGCACACAGAGCCCTGACAGTTAGTGATGGGCAGATGAAGCTTCATGAAGCACTGAAGCTTTTCATCCAATTGGTTCACCCCAGCGCAAAGCTTCTTGAAGCTTCATTTGCTCTAGTAGGACACCTACTGGACGTAAAAATATTAGTTGGCATGAATTTGAAGAGTGTGGCCTTTTGCACACAGCCTGTAAATGTCAACAACAAAAGGAGTGTGTAAGACATCTATATTGTAGTGATGGCAGTATACAGTGTATATTTATACTGGCAGTATGGAAAATGATTATTTGGAAATGCTTAAAATGGAAATGATCATTTACTGTGAGGTGAGGTGTGGTTGGGGTGTGGACAGTGGTTGTGCTTTTGTAACGTTGAGGTATGGACAGCAGTCCTGCCTGTTCACATTTTATTCTGTAAAAACTACATTTTCACTGCTTTTATGACCTTTTTAGTGGGGAGAACATAGCTAGGATTTAATGATTTAACAAATCTTTTAAATCCTTTGTCCTCCACAATGCTAAATGGCTGGGAGTCCTCAATCACCATGGTAACCAGGTCTTCATCTATTTGAGATTGTTCTCCTGAGGAAAGACAATAAAGACAAAGCACAAATATAAATATCACACACGTAACTTATAACAGTTGTATAATATTGTTATATCATTTAGTAACATTACTGCATCCTATATTATCATGGCATTTGATGGCTCACCTGGTCTTGCTCCACAATCGGTGTTCCCCTTATTCTCATGCAAAGCTCTGTAGTGCCTAAGCATGGATGAGGTGTTGTTGTTATATCCCAGCTCCCTGGCACATAGTAAACACTTCACCTTGTACAAAAGTCAAGACAGCTTAACATAAATTGTATTGCACCATCAGTATTATGAAAATACATCTTCTGTAGAAATTTACATAGCTTGTTGGGGGGAATAAGATCAAAATGTTCCCACACAGGGGAGGACATCCTCCTCTTCTTAGCTGGCTCCATTCTCTCCTGACTTTCTCTCCTCACTCTCATAAACCTCCAAACTGTCTCCAAACTCTCACTAACCGCAACTCTGCATCAAACACCCACATTTTGAATGAAGTCTGAGGGGTTTATATCGCTGTCATATCTCGCGGCAAAGTTCGAATCACTTCATGAACCAGTCACGTGGTACAGCCGGGCAGCGAGGCTTCGGACGTCATCATTTTCAGCTCCTCCCATAAATGAAGCAAGCCTCGATACGCGCATCGCGGAAACGCCCCCTCCATTACTCGACACAAGCTTCGAAGCCTCGATACAGAACGTCACATCACTACTGACAGTGGTTTTTGGTTCAGATTAAAATGAGTTTCAGAGCTTGTTTTGTTGCCATGTTTGTGTTTCCTTTATACCAATCTTCTTGCTCAATACTCTGAAATGGTTGATCTGTAAAAATCGTGTGTGAAATTAGGACGCCAAACAAGACTGAATAGCAGAATAGCAGATTTCCTTACTTTTTGCGTTACGTTTATATGGACTGTTTTTCCACTGTAATAAAAAAAATGTTTCTAATGTTTTCACATTTGTGTCATTTAAAGCTGTTTGTGGAGCCAGTATGCAGGACTCAGAGGCAGAACTGAACTCAAAAGCAGCTTTATTGCTTAAAGGAAAACTACAGACTAGGAGACAAGGAGGAAACTGGGAACGGAAGTAATAATCAACTTAATAATCAACTAGGAGACTGAAACACGAGGCAGACATTCAACATGATGGAGTTTGCGACAAATGACAAGAGGAGACAGAGAGCTAAAATATACCCTGGGTAATCAGGGAGATGGAAAGCACACAAGTGAACTAAATCCACCAATGAACCGAGGAAGGCAAAGCATAGCATAACACACAGGGGATAAGGGACTATCAAATTAAAAGAAGGAAACAAAAGCAGGGAGGGAAACCCAGACACAGGGAACAGATAAAGAAACTAATGAACTGAGAAGCTCTAGGAAAGAGAATATAATTTCTTAAATCCAAGAAAAATAGAACACACTGAAAATACTGGTTCAGAGGCCGAGGACCATGACGGTTTGATTAATCCATTTCCACATTTTAGTTATTTCATGAGCATTAGAGAAGAATATATAGATCAAGATCCAGTATGGCAGAATAGGTGTAACATTGCTTGTGCAATCGTAAGATAAAGAAACTACATTGTTTCTTTAATTTAAGGTTTTAAATATGATAATAAAACTCAGTACAACACAACTGGTTCCAACCAGATTCTCCTCCTCAAATGAACAACAGTGTAAGACATATTACACAAAGACTTCTGGAGCAGTGTCCTTTGGAGAGACGAGGCCAAAGTGGAAATGTTTGGACATAATGGACAACACCACTTTGGACAAAACCAGCACATCAACACAAACACCTCTTACCACCTGTCAGCACAGGGGTGGGGAGGTGATGATTAGGGCTTGCTTTCCAGCCACAGGACCTGGGCACCTTGCAGACACTGAGGTGAACATGAACTCCTTTATACCAAGGTATTTTAGAGTCAAATGTGAGGCCCTCTGTCTGATAACAAGAGCTTGATTGAAATTGTGTCGTGCAACATCACAGTGATCCTAAGCAAATCCATAATCACATGTCTGAAAAACAAAAATCAAGGCATTGCAATGATTCAGTCAAAGTCTAGCTGAACCATTGCAACACCATGCACTTCAAGTCGACTGAATTGTTGTGGCGGGAACTTAACAAATGCTGCAAATCTCAAGCTTTTGTAAAATCATATTATCTTGCAAAGAATAAAGAGGCCCTTTTATCTTTATTGTTTAAAGGTAAACGAGGAAGAAGATAATAGAAGGAAATAGAAAATGCAATCTAATTTTACTAGAGACCTCATTTATCCAATCACAAATATTTTCATGATGCACTTTATTCTATGCATGGGTGACTTATCTGACTTTTACACGAGGCACTTAGTTATACACTGAACCAACAACCAGTCTACTAATCTACAGTTGCACAATATATACTATGTACTCAGGAGGATTGTGTTTCAGGAAGTAGACTGGTGTCATACTGATCAGACCAGCGTTTCCTGACTACATATCATTGTCTCAAAGAGCAAGATAATGAACTCCAACGTGCAAGTATAGTGGCGATAGAAAAAAAAAACATTGTACAAAGGAGTATGTGTGACGGGGCGTGGTCAGCTGCCAGGCCCCCCTCGTGGGTTTAGTACCGATGATGAGTGAGGCTTCCTCCTGACATACAAACACTCCAATTCAAGGAGTTCAAATGGTTTATGTTCCAGTTGCCTTTTGATGTTTTGATTATGTTTTGATTATTGTACAGTGTGTCCTGCACTCGAAGCCACAGATAACCTGGAATCAAATGAATTTTCAAAATGCTACCTCTCCATTTTCTCAGAGCAAACAAATTTATCTGATACAGTGACTTCAACACTGACTAATAAAGGAGCCACCCCATATTTAAATAGGAAAAGATGTCCTGGAGGTGGAGTCACCTAGCAAACCCTCATCAACACTGCCTGTGGCAAGTGAAGCTCTCGCTGTTGCACAGACAGCTGATGCATGTTTTACTTCTATGCATGAAACAGTTGGGAAATGCTGCTCATGTTCTTACTTTCTGCAGGAAGAAGTTCGAATGCACACATTCAGATCATAGCAGAACTGATAAAATACAAGTCTGAAAAGATGCTGATGGGACACAGCGTGTGACTGGAGTGCTGTGTGACAAATTGTGGTTTCTTCGTACCTCGCAAGTCAAATGTTAGATCTCGGAAGTGACGGAAGTTAAAAAATAATTTTAAAAAAGGGTTTGTTTTGCTTCTTAGCAAAGTATGACTATTTGGGCATTCAAAAATGGCTGATGTGGTGCATTTTTGCCTTTGGAACATGCTAAAGAGTTCTTGTTAATGATATACACTTTAACACTTTTTCCAGACAATTGACTTTTATACAACTTGCTATTTTCTGGTACATGAGATTTGGAGGGGCAGCAAACAGGCGGGCAGTTATCCAACAAGGAAGTCCTTGTCCATGCTGTCATTTCCATAGAGTGTTTGAATCAGATTAGCAATACCAGCTATCCTCTTCCGTCTACCTGAGAAAATGCAAGTAACTATTTGAACAGTTATTAAAGTAACCTATTTGCCATTAAAGACATCCTTAAATACCAAACACTGATTGGGCAATGCAAAGCAGGTGCTGAGTTAAAGACCGAAAAAAGGGCACAGTAACCGCCGGCCCACCTCTTCCCCTGAGAGGGAAAAAAAACAAGCCTTGTAGGCGTTGCTTTCAGTTAGCGTTGCTTTGTCTGTTATGTTGGCTTTCATCCTCCCTTAATTTAATTCTTAACATCTTTTAAAAAACCTAACGAATTTAAAACGGACCCAAACAGTCTCCTCACATTCCTCCACCTGGTGTTAAGTAAGGTTAGAATTATATAACAATTTTTTTTACAGACATGAACAAAATCCAAGGCAGCTTATAAATATTTATCCCAATGTTTATTACAAAATAATCCTCCAAAATGTCTTGCGCAGGTACACCCAAACAAAAAAGGTCCAAGGACATTATGCATACATCTTATTTAAAACGATAAGATTGTGTACTGCCAGTGTATGCAGTTCACAGTTAGCATTTAAAGCTGTTTAACTGTACAACATATAGCCCATTACTTAGCAGCATTAAACCCAAACAGATTTGAACATTTGTGCATATATTCGATTCAGCATACTGAATCTGCAACAACAGATATTGATTCTTAATGAAACAGTGATCCTGCATTGGATTGCCTACTGGCAACCACTTGTAACGGCTTTTTACCGACACCCAGTTGTTATGTTCTGCAACACTGATGTAAGGCACAAATCCCTTTGTGTAACAGAAATATTGAGGCTGAAACAAACAAAATAAAGAAGGCTTAACAGAACAAAGAGAATTAAGAAGATAAAATATATATATATATATATATATATATATATATTACACCTTTTATTCTTAAGAAACCCTGAGAAATGATTTTGGATGATATCTGCGGCAACACAAGCGCCAGATCTAGAGCTGGGCATTGTTCAGAGGTTTACAGGTACAATTAAACTGCAGTGTAAAATTTACCAAATGTAGAACTTAAAATATCAAACCAACTCAAACATGAGTTCAATCGTTCTTTTTAGGTGATGAATTGCATTGTTATTTGTCCTGTTTTATTTAATGTATGTATTTATTTTTGGAAAAGTCTCAGTATATTTTAAGCACTTTGTAACTTTGTGCAGAAAAACAATACATAAATAAAATGTTTTCATATCATTGCTGTATTTTATTGTAAACCAATAATTTAAATGTACTTTCCTCCATACAATCGTAGCATGAAAAGACCCATACAGATGAACCATAGTACTCCGCAATGCTTTACATTTGAATTGGTTGATTATATGTCATCTGTTCATGATTTTCACACTGGCTGGCACGCGACATACAAAAAAAATCCAACAGAAAGTATGAATTAAATATTACAATCAGCTCTTAAAATTCACATTTGATTTACAGGCAGCTAACATTAACTTGGTAACTCTCCTTACACCTGGCTCATTTTCTACGTGATAGAAATTCAGTAAATTATGCAATATAGACTCAACTTTTCAATTCTTGGCCATTTTTCATGTCCTTAATCTCAGGACAAGGTAGCTAACACACGGCTGCACTCTAGCTGGCAGCTTTTGTCTACTAAAACATGGCCTTTATTAGTCTGTATCACCTGTAGCTATGCTGAACTTTATGTGATACTAAAATATAGAAAATCAGACCCAATGACTTTAAATGTGGACTCATTTTCCAATGAGAATTCTCAAAATGAGGCGTAACTTTACACTTGATGGCTACTTAAAATTCACATTCATTCTTTCTGTGCAGTAAGTGGGCATTTCAAGAAAAAGCGAAATCTAGCAATCCAATCAGTACCTATTAAGTAATATTAGACAATCTGGTAAAGAAAGGTACAAGATTTGGTGAGACAAAGACAAAATATAATGTATTGTATTGTAACGCAACAGCCAGTCCTGCCTGTTCAAATGTTGTCAACTCATTTAAGGTATGTGCCAGTCCCTTCTGTCCAGCAAAAGTTTTTTCTCTTTACAGTATGTGAAACAAACACTTACATGTTCATTTGAGCTGGAAGCAGGAGGAACCGGAACATCACTAAGCTCTATTATTGCCTAGAAGTTAAAGTTTGGTGCTACAAATGTTATTGGCTGGAGAGACCACATCTTAGATTTGGATCATGTACTCTGTGCCACATTAGATACATCTGAGCTGGAAGGAATCTGTGCACAAGTAAAACCTCTTTATAAAAGCAAGGATGGTATTGGTCTAAACTGTGGGATGGAACGTGTTGTCCTGCTGTCTTGACGCCCATGTGGGAAGTGGGGCCAAGTCCTGCTTTGGCCAGACACATCCCCATGTAAACATCATCAATGGGAAGAATGGTAATAGACTGGGACATATTGTAAATGACTGAAGCTGTATAGCCAGAGAGGAGGAAGCCCCCGCCACCACAATAAGGAGGGTACGAGTTTGACTCCTGCACCTGAACAGGAATATAGTACTTGCTGTTTGGTGATCTAATAGGGCCAACATTTTGGATCAGATGGCCAGTAAAGAGGTGCTGGCTTCCATCATTGTCCTTGAGGCTTTGCAGATACTCGACCATGTTGTCTGTGTTGGCAAAGACGTCGTCATCACCATTCAACAGGAAGTGAGCATTGGGACAGTTCCTTTCCATCCATTCAAGAAAGAGTATCTGCTTCAATGTAAGGTTGTAAAATGTGTCACTGAAATCCCATTGGAGGATGTCGTTGTGCTCCTGTTGCTCCAGCTCCAGGAGTTTGTTCAGCCTTTCCTTCTCAAACCCGCTCTCTGTCGTTCCTGAGATGAAGATCCGTCGAATCCACACACCGTTGTGTAACCTCTCTTCACCCCACGTTTTGCGCAGCACCTCTCTGCGTTCGTAGTTCCCCGGAGAGCTTTTAATGACCAGAAGAAGAAAGACTTCTCCAGATTTATCAGCTCCTCCACATTTGTCCGGAACATCCAGTAGCATGGGGAAGTGGCGACAGTGGCGATAGTAGAGGAAATCCTTGATAGAATTAGGCAAAGAGTTGAACTCAGCGATGTTGGCAGCAGATGTTTTTTGTTGACATTTTGGCCATGAGAATACATATGTGCTGTTTTTGGTGTTTTGCGTCAGTCGGCTGTGGTCCTCTCTAACATCTACGTGGAAACTTATAGTTTTATGGTCAACAAAATCTTTGCAAAGGTGAAGGAGCAAAAGCCCGAGTGCTACCACCATCAATACATTTCTTGCCCTGATGGTTTTCATCTTCAAAACTCTGTAGCGACAAGACAAAAGACAGAGATTAATTAAGATCAGAATGAAACTAGACTAACTTATTGAGGAAGTTATTGAGTAGAAGCAAGTACAAGCATGCAGTGAACACAAAGATGTGAGCCAAAGCCTTATAGATTTATGTACTACTTGTGCAGTGCATAAGACCCTCGCATTCTTCTTGAAAGTTCCTTTAGGGTGATGTGGTTAAACCCGCAACTGTAGCATACATTACACTGACAAGGGCATAACTTGCAAGGAACTTGCAATTTGTTTGTGTTCCCTTTATTAGCTAACAATACAGTGGTTTTTTTAACACTTGTTGACTTGTTTGTATGTTACAATTGCTCTCTATATCTGTGGCATAGGCATAAGGTGAAATTATTTTTCAGAATATGATCCTTTGCTCTGAATGTGGTTTTAAGAGTAAACTTGTGATTTCCTGAAACATGAGGACAGCGTGCACTTTAACTCTAGAATGATCACGTACCAGTGTTAGCTCAGTGATCGTTACAATGGGCCTTATTATAATGTTGCCTTTGTCTTGTCTTGTAATGTGATACTGTATCAGTAAGGGTTGTGTCACTTTGGTGTGATCGTGTTTGCAGGCTGAGATCTACACTGAGGTTTCACCTGTTAAAATCAATCCTCAAACAGCTTAAAATGCAGCAATGGGTGTTATATTCCTTCCAACAGAGCTAATGCTGGTGCCTTAATGGTAGACCATGTGGTGCACATGGGTTGACATGGGTTCCTGTTTTAAATTAAACAGAACATGTGTTGCGTTTAAAATATTTGTGCATGCACACAAAATGCGACACGCATGTAACAGCATATGTTTTTCACACATCCTTTTTACAGTACAGTTGATGTTTGTTTTGCAAAAGACTGAAGCATCATTTTAATTATCAAATTCTTTGCTGTAGCCCTGACACCTCATGGGCTGTGGCTTAACACTTATGCAAAACTAACATTTTGGTTTTAATTTGAAATGAAGGCAACACCCTCCCACGAAAAAACATACAAAAACACTTGGGCAACAGGAATGCAAACTCACCTGCACCACGACATGACTCTCAGAGTGACAAGCCAGCAGGAGTGAGGAGACCGAGCTTCAGAGCAGACATGAAGCAGCTGGACATGTGCCTGAAAAATCCACACACAGGATGCTGTCACACAAAATAAAAATAAATCAAATGTTGTTTTGTGTCCTCAGAATGGATGGAATATGTTACATAGGCTGTTTCTGACATTGAGTAATAAAACCACACAGTCATTCTGAAAGAAGCATTAAGGGGGGAAAAAGAAAGAAAGAAAATGAAGTTCCCGGTCCACACAGGCTTTTGTGTGTTTTTTAAATGCAAATCTGACAGCAATAAAACTCAAAATGTGCAGTGTAACAGTGTTCAGCAATCCTTAAGCATGTTAGTGCGGTAGGACAGCTGCGGCAGATTGCTTTATGTTGTTATTAACCTCCTAGGACCTGGTGTCCACATATGTGGACATCACATTTTGGGTTATTTAGACCAAAATACTCAATTTTGCTCAACATGGGCCTGATTTCTACTTACAAGGACATTATATTGCTACTGTTCTATCAAAATTTTAAACAAATATCCTCATATGTGGCTCTTATTTTTCTTTAAAAAAAAATCTGGTAATTCTTTGTTTTTACATTAATTGGGCCTCAACATGCCCAAATATCAAGGAGAAATTAAAAATGCATGTCGTGGAAGAGTTCGGGTCTTAGGAGGTTAAAGCAGAATTTTCAGTGTTGACCATTTTAACTGTTACTAGTTTTCTTCCTCTTTTGTTTTGCGTGATTTTTGTGTAGTTGGCACAACATCAGGGTAAAGTCGGGAACAATGGGCATAGCTTTGGATTCCACAAAAATGGACTGGAAAACGGAAGTTAACTGCACAGTGTCGTGAGTATTTGATTTGTGACAGCCACGACATCAAAAACAATTAAAAAGATGAATAACATATAGGCCTATTTTAAAATTATTTTTGCTGTGTGTGAAAGTGTTATTTACTAGGATCGCTGAATATTTCTATGCTTATTTCAATTTCCTGTTACAATACAAAGGACAATTGTTAACCAGTTACATACTGTGCAGACTCACGAATACAGAAGGCTAGTTTTGTAAAAAGCAAAATGATAAACAGCATTCAAATTAGTCTTCTGGACAAGGTAGAGCATGATTGCACAGGTTTTAAGTACACTTGTCTGGTTAACACTTTGACTTGTAATGTGGTTTTTACTTTGTGGTGTTTCTACTTTCAGACAATGAGAGCTCCTTTCAGTCTTGAACATGTCCGGGTACAACAGTCATTTGAAGAGATTTAGAAGATATGCCTATTTACTTTTTAATCTGCAAGTCCGATATGGTTATTATATATATTTCTTATTAAATCCTTTCATAGTGTGTTGTCATCAAAGCATCAGTAGCCACAGGCTGTAATCTTTTTGCCAAAATATTATATTTTATTTTTGTTGTTTGGTCTTTGTTGTCTCTGTTCTCCAGTTTGTTTTAAGATGGTGCCATTTAGTATTTAGTTAATATCTGCCAGCTCCATCACACAGAAGGCGTATTAAACAAATGTAATTTTTATAAACCATCGGGAGATTAAAAGAAGCATTGGTGAACATTTAAGTCCATTTTTTGATTTATTTTATTTTTTTTTTTACATAGTGTCATATTGTTGAATAGACAATAGTCGAGCTTTAAGCGACGATTATTAGTTTGTAAAAGGAATTTTTAAATTCCTTTGGCTTCCACAAACCAGACAGAGTTTGTGGAAGCCAAAGTAAGCAGAGTAAGCAAAGTAACACGTCGCGCATGGCTGAAGCATCAGAAGACATTTATATTTAGCTTTCGTCGAGTTCTCATGTAGCGAGTCATGCCTAAACTATTGTAAACTAATCTAGGGGACAGTTAAGATTCATAAAATAAGAGATTTTAAAAAGCGACACTCCAAAAAAAAATTTTTTTAAACAGCATTTGTCGTCTATGCGTAATTTCTCAGGAAACTGTGTTATTATAGCCAGTAATATATCCCAATTACGCCGAGTACAAACTAAACATGTGATGCTCCCTATGTCAGATCCCGTTACTTTACGGAAACTTTATTCGAGGACGCGCACGGGCACAGAGACAGCACTTCGCGAAGCTGCTGTGTACAGTACTTACAAGTTTAAGAAGATCGCCCCTCTCCTGTGTCTGTAGTGAAGTCAGACTAATAGTGAATCCAGAATCCGGTGGCTGAAAAGCTCAGGTCCCTGCACTGCAGGGCGTTGTTCTGTCCGCCCCGTGCGTCATCTCCTCATCTATTGCCTGTCGGTAACGATCTGCGATCATCCCGCTATGACTATTTTCTGCTTAAATAAAATGTACTACTGATGATTACCTAATAATAAAACCTTAAAAGTAAAGGTTATTTCCTATTAGGTTAGCTGTAGCTGTAGGAGGTGGAGCACGTCATCAACTAATCAGAAGGTTGGTGGTTATTCCTGGCTGCTCTGGTCTGCATGTTAAAGTATCCTTGGATAAGATACTAAATCCACTGGATTTTGAATGCGTGTGGATGTTTGATAGAAAGTACTTAGAAAAAGTGCTTGGGTGATTGAGGTATTCACCATTTATACATCCACTAGTAGCATTTTACACAACGCAGTCTAAGGAAATCCTTTAGCAGAATTTATGAAAGATCACATTATCCAGTTAAAGATTTGAGCTTCCTTTTCAACCAAATGGTCGGGCATTGCACAGCTACAAGCATTTCACCCCCCCATGTCATACTGTGTGTGTGTGACAAATAGAATTTGAATTTGAATTTGATTTGAATTTGAATTTGAAATGGGACACTTAATATAGTTAAAACTCTATTTGCAGGGTTAGTCGTATCTGTAGAGACAGTACTTCGCTGTAGGACACAGCTAAATATCACCACAGTAAAACAAGAAGACCTTAACTCACGTGGATGGTAAAATGCTTTTAAGGGCTTGGCCTTGAGATTTAAATATTTCCCTGCACTTTGTCTTCAAAAGCTTTTTAATCCCTTTCGGATTTATCGTGAAAATATTTCTTCATCTTTCTGTTTTGGTTTTTTCTGTCTATACAACACTTTTCAGGCATGCTTCTGTGTAAATTTCAACCAAAATAAAAAGAAGTTCTTTCTGAAAGCCTGTTCTTCCTCGTTGGAGTGCTGCCATGACTATTATTACTCTTCCAGTGACCTTCGTTGTTTAAGCGCTCATGGTCTTAAATTTCCTCTATTTTGCACACAGTTTTTTGACCGGGGCTAGAAGGACTCCAAACGCTTTCAAGGACCTTTTGTACATTTTAAAACTCATTTTCCACGCTGCCAAGCATCAACAATGATAAGTCAAACATCTTCAAGAGTTGAATACTAAAAGTGTTCGCACTCCCTGCTGATTCCTGACAGAAAACACCTGATCCCAAGTTCCCCTTCAAGTTTATGTTTAATCCCAGAGGCTGTCCTACTTTGCTATCCCCACACGTTGAATGATTTTTAATTGAATAATTTTGCAATTTTGAATTGATCGAGCATGTTTGCCTCGCGTGTTCAACCTTTAGCACTTGGGTGAGAAAATTACAAATATTTCAGTTCATATTTACACTGAAATGTACATGTTTACGTGAAGCATAACAACTAAACATAGAACGTGAACCTCAAGGTTTAGTTGCCATCGGCCTTGGGATTGTTTTTTTAGTCAAGGGTTAAAAGTGCTGAGTTAAGCATAGCATAAAAATACTGCTGTAGTATATGGAAATATAAATGCGGTTATAGTTTCTGCTGTCATGACACTAAAGCAATTTGGAGAAATGAAAGAGAAAGACAGGGAAGGGGAAGAATCTAAAGCTTAATCTTACCAGACTAACTGCATTTCACTGTGAAATATGGATTAAAAAGTCACCAGTGCTAGGACTGAATGTATTATGCTCTGTGTGAGTTTGCAATACCTGATGTAATATGCTGTGTAATCTCTTTTAAAGACTGAAACCATGCACAGCTCAGTTGACTACGAATCTGGAAAAATATGTGGCTGTAAGGTGATATGCAGCTTTTTAGTCACCAGATGTCAACTCGGGTGAATACCTGCTGGAGAATTCGGACCTGTATACTAAACAGCGCACTCCACCAAATGAAGTGATATCTTATGGAATAGTGGGGTCTACCCCTACAGCAGACTATCAAAGTCATTTAAATATAATGGGCAAGTATCAACTTTAAATCTCCCCAATTACATACAGACCAATTGTCTGTATCATCAACTCGGTCCCCTATAACATGTCAAAGTTTCTGGCTTCAATCCTCAATCCGTTAGCAGGCAGCTCTAAACACCATATCCAGAACACCTTGGATTTTTTTGAGAAGGTGTTGTGTTCTGTAAACACACATGGATCAGTGTAATCAGTCTGACTCTCATCATCCATTGGAGCATAAACTGGGTGTCATCAGGACACTACAACACGGAGCAAATTACATCCCCACAGACCGAGTGGCCAGGAAAGCAGAAGAACATCACATCAAGAAGGCCCTGAGTAGGCCCAGCTGAACATTTGTCAAAGCCTTCCCAGCTTTGGCAAAAAGAAAGCTCCAAGGTATCCAGGAGAGAAGGACAACTGCTGCCTAAGCACTTTAGTGATCCCTTGTGTGTCAGGAGTACGGGAACAGCTAGGACGCATTTGAAACTGATCTCACAGCCCATTGCTGTTATATCTTTTACTATTTTACTTGCTATGATTGAGCATGCATCAAGACTTTAAAAAAATGGAATTTCCACAGGACACACAAGGCAAAATAAAAGTGACATATAGAAATGTTTACAGTAAACACTGTGAAGAACTGGGAGCACCAGTCTAATGACAGGAACTGTTGTGAAGTCCTCCCCCCAGACATTAAATGTGAAAATGACCTTTTATTTTCCTGGTACAGAGCTCAGATAAGGCCATATAAACATTTTCTTTTATCAGGCATCAAGCAGTGACATGAGTGTAAAGAAACTGCATAGAAAATGCAACTCTCTTTCAATAAACATCTATTTTAAGGACAGTTTTTAAAAATTGTTGGTAATTTATTACTTAACCTTTGAGGCTAACATACTGCAACATAATAGATGCAAGTTTTGTTGTATTCATTTGTTTTTATTAATCCCAAGTCATTTGGGAACAGAGAGAATACATTTTCCTCTTGGCACATGTCAAAACCTGCTCACATTTTATCCAGAAATGTTTAATTTGACCTTCACCAAAACATCGTGTCAAGGTCATTATTCCTTAGTACAATTTTGCTTTAGCGGGGAAATCTACAGTGTAACCTATATGGTAACCAGAAACCCCTTTTAGCCCTGTTTGGTATGTCACAGTCGCATGTGACACATGCTTAAAAAAGAAGGTGTCATTGGCAGGCATTCATTATTTATAATTCACTGGTGTCAGGTGGAAGATAAGCATCACGATGGATTCACCTGAGGTTAAAATACCTGGGTTGGACATCCAGGCTCCTTTTCAATCGCATGAATTACTTACATACAAGATACATACACAATGAAAAAGAAACAGTGGTGCATGTGGTAGTTGTGAAACTACCAGGCCTGAAATTGCATCAGTACAAAGAAACTTTCCACTTCCTCTTCCTGCCCTCGTTCACATGTGCTAGGTTAAATTTTTTTGCACCACATTTTAATTTTTGAAGGCAGCTTGAGGCTGCAGCACGTTCACAGTACACAGTGGTCATGTATGAGATGCACTTAGCGTGGGGATTGGGCTGTGGTGTCATCTTCTTCAAAGGGATGGAACCATGCATCCATTTTACGCTTGAGTCTCTTCTTAAGCTGAAAGCGGCGCTGGACTGAGGTAGAATTGTAAGCTTGGGTCTTTAGTTTGCTGTAGTAATCAGAGAACTTGTTAAACAGGAAAGAAATCGGCATGCCGTTGAGGATTATCCCAAAAGTAATGCATCCAAAGGCCACGATGCGGCCCAGGATAGTTACAGGAACCACATCCCCGTAGCCCACAGTGGAGATACTGACCTGAGAGAGAAAAGGGGAAACAAAATCCTATGTTCAGTTTCCAGGAATGTTTCCTTTAATCAGAGTTATTTTTGATTCTAAGAATGAATTAAAAGTTTACACTAACAAGTAGTACAGCTGGCCTTGAAAATATCTGCTGAATCGACACTTACTTGTTTAATTTCACTTCAAAAGCAACACAAAGACATTATCTGAAGTCTGCAGTGCAAGTATAAACATTAAAATGTGTAACTTTATTGGACAGTTCTGTACAATCAGGCTGCTGCTTCCATCAAAACCTACACCCTAGCCTCTTTGTGGCTCTAGCAGGTGTCAAAATACTTAAGAAAAAGCACAGACAGCAGACCACTTCCGTTGACCAGTGTTAGGATCGCCATCTTCTAATTCTTTATGAGAAAACAGTTTGGGCAGGGTTTGCCTTTCATGAAATGACATTTAAGAAATTTATGCAAATAGACTAAAAAAATGCTGAGAAGAATTTAGTTTTTTAAGCCAAACATAAGTACAGATCACTGCATGTTACATTTGTGAAAATCAATTAATTTCTGTGTTTGACTAATAAGTAGTGGAATAATAACCTTTGATCTAGAGAGTGTTTACATTTCTAGACAGGTGAAAGTCACACTTGTAGGTGTTAGAATGTTCAACTTATTGCTCAGGGGAAGAGTAGGTAGGTGAAAAAAGACTGCAAAAGGAAATACGCGGCTGGTTTGGGTTAGGGCTTAGGTGCTGTAGTACACATTTCTTTGACACTTAGAGCCCCCGAGAGCAGCCAGTTTGCTTTTCTACCTTTAAAACCTACCTTTAAAACCCGCCTACCAGCCAAATGGCTTTTAGCTAGGCTTTAGCTTCAGCCAAGTGGAAGCTAAATTGGCTAGTCATTCATATGTAAATTAGGTTGTTATCTGAGAATTCTGGAGGGGAGTGGGTGTGTGTGAATGATTGCTAATTTCTAACTGCCAACTGCCTCTTTGTTTGTCCGGGGGTGGGGGAGCTGCTAAAAGCTGTGAACTTCCTTTTGTGTTCGTCTTGATGCATTCTCAATCATCCAGGGAAATAAATCTCCAAAAGTCACCAACTTGGAGTGTTTCAGTTTGCCATCTTAGGGAGAAATCAACACACATGGGTGTAGGTCCTTTGTTGCTGAGATTTATTGATAAAAACAGTACAAAAGACCAACCATTTGTACACATATTTACAAATAATAATAAAAAGTGAGTGAGTACATTTCAACATTTTCAGCAATCACTCACAATCCTGGCACTGCCATGGTATCTGTAGTCTGCATTTACCACATGTGTATCTGTAGCAGTGAACACATCGCACAGTGGCATGATTGTTCTTGCAGTTTGTGTTTGACCTGACACATGCTCTTTTCCAGGGCTCAGGTGTGGAGGGTTGTGTCCAAAGCAACTGTTCTTTTCTTGCCTTCTTCCCAGCTACATGAGAGTGAGCCACTCTCTTGCAAGCGCCACCAGGAAGTCCACCCGTCTTTCCTTCGTCCCGGTGCATGCTTGATACAGCACATGTGCATTCAGTGCTGCCATGTCAATCATGTTATAAAACACGGCAACTGGCCAGCGCCGTGTTCCTTGCGGACAGTGTACTCCCGAACCATCTGGTCCATCACATCCACGCCACACTTTGTTTTGTTGTAAAGGGTGACAGTGTTTGGCTTCCTTTTGGTAGGTGTTATCAGTCTGAACCACGCTGTGCATGCTGCTAAGAATATAGACTGTCTTCTTCCGTTTGGCCGCATACGCCGTCAGCGTGGCAGCAGAGGTTGAAAACACCTAAGAAATAAGATAAATTGTTATTTCCATAGCCCTTTTACACACAATGAAACACATAAACATAGAACCACAAAAGACCTGCAACATACCTGAGTGGTGAATTCATTGCGATCTGTCTGTCTAGTGGATTGAGGAATTTCCCTGCGAATCTTGTTGACTGTGCCGAGGATGGTGGTTTTCCGTCTAAGAAGTTTTTGCGCAAGTGAAAGCGATGTGAAAAAATTGTCGTGGTAACATTTCTGCCCTTGTCCAGGAATGGTTCCATCAGCCTCATAACTACATTTTCGAAAGTCTCTCCCCACGTGGGATCGATTGGGGTCCTTGCCAAGATATGGGAAGACATTGCAAATGTACTTGGATTTTAGGTTGCAAGCCACCCAAAGACTTGATCCCAAACTTGTCAGGTTTACTTGAAATATACTGCAGGAAACAGCACCGAGTCTTTGATGGGAAAAGCTGTTCATCAACGGTGATATGCAGGGTTGTAGCACGTGATGCAGTTGGTGACAAATGATCCCCACACACTGGAAATGCAGACTACAGATACCATGGCAGTGCCAGGATTGTGAGTGATTGCTGAAAATGTTGAAATGTACTCACTCACTTTTTATTATTATTTGTAAATATGTGTACAAATGGTTGGTTTTTTGTACTGTTTTTATCAATAAATCTCAGCAACAAAGGACACTACACCCATGTGTGTTGATTTCTCCCTAAGATGGCAAACTGAAACACTCCAAGTTGGTGACTTTTGGAGATTTATTTCCCTGGATGATTGAGAATGCATCAAGACGAACACAAAAGGAAGTTCACAGCTTTTAGCAGCTCCCCCACCCCCTCATTCACACACCCCCACTCCCCTCCAGAATTCCCAGATAACAACCTAATTTACATATGAATGACTAGCCAATTTAGCTTCCACTTGGCTGAAGCTAAAGCCTAGCTAAAAGCCATTTGGCTGGAAGGCGGGTTTTTAAAGGTAGAAAGGTAGAAGCCTGGCCGGCTGGTGTTGAACCTTCCTTTTATTAGCGCACATAATAGGCAGATGTTTGCTTAGAAAGAAAAAGTCAAAGGCAGACGTGGAGATGTGGCGTTTATAGCTACAGACAGTGATACTTACTGCTGCCCACCACCAGGCGTACGGGATACTGCTGATGGGAGAGCCTTCGGTTTCCCTTTCTGCTGAATGCAGAAGAGCAGAGAATGTGAAGATTCCCAAGGCGATAAAGAGAAAAATGCAATAGGCCTCCTGGTAGCACCTCCGCAGAGTAAATGCAAAGGCCCTCATGCCGGTCGAGTGGCGGGCTAGCTTCAAAATCCGAAAGATCCGCAGCAACTTGACAATTTTGAGGACGTGGCTGAGCTTACTGACCCGGGCCATGGCCCTGAGGTCTTCCTGTGCACTCACATCCTCGGAGTCAGTAAAGGCTTCAAAGATGATCTGGACAAAATAAGGCATGACTGAAACCATGTCCACAAAGTTAAGTCCGCTCTTCAAAAATAATACAATGTCAGGAGTGGTGATGAGACGAATCAAATACTCAAAGGTGAAGAACACAATGGTGACGATCTCTCCCCACTCCATGTAGGTTTTGTCATCGATTCTGTACGACTGTAGTTCTTCCACAGTGTTGAGACACATTGAAGCGATGGACAAGAGCACGAAAAGGTTAGAGAGCAGCGTGAAAGTCTTCGCAAGAGTTGACGAGTACGGATTCTCCACAATGTTCCACATAGTCATCCGAACGTCCCCAAACATCATGTCCTTGAAATACTCATCATTGTACTTTACCTCGACCTCAGCCATTAGTTCTCTTTCCACCTTCAGGTTCTCCTTCAACTCATCTACCTTCTCCTGAAACACCATCCAACAGCAGAGCTGTGTGTCCTTCAGGCTCAGGCCCCAGTATGCAATTTCTTCCTCAAAGCTGATGGGACACATTTCCACTATGATCCAAAGCACTCCGGTTGCATAGAAATGGCAGATGTGGTGAAAGAAGGCAGGATCCCGGTCAAAGAAGAACTCGTTGCTGCACACAGAGTAGTCATCACAGAGGGTGAGGAGTTTTGCCTGGTCCCGGCAGAGAGCTAAGGAACCTATTCGAGTGTTAGGATATCTAACTGCACACATTCTTGGAATGTAAAACACTTTCCCTCCTACATTTAAGTTCATGTTTTGCTGGGGTTTGGGTGTCTTCTCACCTTTAGGGCAGTCATCTTTAATCCCAGGATAGTCCAGATTCTTCAGTGAGCTCCACGCTTTGGCTGTTTTTTCCTGAGAAAATGGGAATGTTTTATTATCCTTTGTGCACTTTGAGAGAGAGCTGACACTATAGCAGGAGCTCTGCAAACATGTTTGCAGCTGAGCGTTCTCTGAGCAAGCCATATCAGCTGTGGTCCAAGACAGGAAATGCAACAGAACAAAAAGAGGAAAACAACCATTAAAAGAAAGACTTGAAAGGGGTGTAATCAACACATGGTAAATCCACGAATATCTGATCCTGCAGCCACTTCTGACATCTCAGGGGAAACGGGGTTTTCCTGTTTGATGGCTCAGCTGTGGCTGATATGGTGACTCCTGGAAGTCAGGGGACAGAAGGAATTTCCTCTGTTTGTTACAGCAAAGACAACACATTGGACTTTACGACCAGAAGATCAGGACAAGCAGCAGGGATTTTATCCATTTAATCTCATTGGGACCCTTCCAAGTGCCCTTAAGTAGTTGTATATTTAGGAGGGAGGGGCATGAAGGGCAGGATTAGTAAACAAAGTTGCTTTAAGGATTTTGAACCTACGCAGGTACAGGGAAAACAAGCAAACCTCACGCAGTAAGGCCTCAGCCAACCAGGAAGTGTAAACCAGAACCTCCTTGACGTGAGACAACAATACTAAACACTGCACCACTGTGCCACCCTCAGTGGTCATTTTTTTTAAAATTAATATTGAAATCACAGCATCTAAATTTTATACACATAAAATACAGGATAAAATGAAATGGAATGAATACTACAGAATGTACATAAGGTGCAGTTGAAGTCTGGCAGCGTGAGCAGTGTGACAGTTCAACTGTTTAAGAGGGAGATGGTGAGGGGAAAGAAACTGTTCCTATGTCGGGTGATCCTGGTCTGCAGGCTTCTGTACTGTCTGCCAGAGGGCAGCAGGTGGAGAAAGTCTGTGTCCAGGGTGTGAGGGGTCTGTGATGATTTTCCCCGTTTCCTGGTTCTTGAGAGGTACAGATCCTGGATGGAGGCAGGGGGGCGCCGATTATCTTTTCTGCTGCCCGTACAGTCCGCTGCAGTCTGCTCCTGTCCTGTTTAGTGGCTGCTCCATACCAGACTGTGATGGAGCACAAGACAGCCTCAATGACTGCAGTGTAGAACTGGATCAGCAGCTCCTGTGGAAGACTGTACTTCCCCAGTTGTATCAGGAAGTACATCCTCTGCTGGGTGTTTTTGAGGATGGAGGAGATGTTGGTCTCCTACTTCAGGTCCTGGGAGATGGTGGTACCCAAGAACTTGAAGATCGCCACAATTGACACCGGGCTGTCTGATATGGTTAGGGGGAGCAGTGTTGAAGGATGTCTCCTGAAGTCCACTGTCATCTCTACAGTCTTCAGCACAGATGGCAGAAATGTGGAGTTTTACATAAATAACTTAGAGTTAACCCTGACATCAAAACTTCAGTATCTTTGTCTTGAACCCAACAAGGTTTATCAGCCTTAATAAAATGCAGTCCAATTCTTCAATTTCTGCAAAACAAGTAAGTAAAGTTGTATTTATATAGCACCCTTCAAGACAAAAATCACAAAGTGCTTCACAGAAGCTAAAACAAAAATAAAAATCAACCAAAAGCAAGTTTAAAAAGATGAGTTTTTGTAACTAATTAGGTTAATCAAAAACACATCAGTAACACGACTGGGTATAAAAGGAGCATCTTAGAGATGTAGAGTTTATCAGAAACAAATATCAGCAGAGGCTCACCAATCTGCAAAAAAGAACAACAACAAATCAGAGAGCAATTTCAGATTAAGAGAGACTTTGAATATCTCTTTTACAGTGCATGCGTACTGTTGTCAATAAGTCCAGAGAATCTGGAGAAATCTCTGTCCACAAGGGACAAGGCTAATACTTGTGATCTTTGGGCCCTCGGATGGCATTGCATTAAATGAGAGAGATTACTGTCTGTGAACACAGTTCATAGTGCCATTCAGATACAGGTTAAAGCTCTATAATGCAAAGAAGAAGCTATCAGTTCTATTTGTATGGCGCCAAATCACAACTACGGTTGACTCAGGGTGCTTTATATTGTAAAGTAAAGACCCTACAAAAATACAGAGAAAACCCAACAATTCAATGAACCCCTGTGAGGAGCCACTTGGTGAGAGTGGAAAGGAAAAACACCCTTTTAACAGGAAGAAACCTCCAGCAGAACCACACTCAGACAGAGTCAACCAACCATTGTCATATACGTGTGCACTTACAGTTAAACTGCACATCAGTCCACTGAAGCAGAAAAAATCTTCCCACACAAAATGAGCACAATGCAGCACGGTTATCAGGATAGACTGTGGGTGGTTACATCCTCTGCATGCTACACTGATGAGGTTTGAACTAGTTCACTGACTTAGTAAATTATTTATGAATGTAAGTGGATGTGAAACTTAAAACATGCTTTGACTACACTAGGAATAAGTCTCTTCTACATTTGTCATGAGACAGCTGTGTTGCTACCAACACACACTCGTTGGTTAGATAAAAAAAGGGTGTGTAAATCCTGTATATGTGTAAGACAGATTGTGTAAAATGTAATCCATTGGTGAATAGTTAACTTGGCTATCTGAAAAAACCCACCCAACCACACACAAAAAAACCCAGCTGGGTGTTGCCCTAGATTGATGGCTTATGTGCTGTGTTGTGTTGAGGTGGCTATAAAAATGAGATTACACAAACTGCTGAGGACCTGAAATCCTACATCAGAGCTGCAGGAACTGCTGTCCTCACTTCACAGACACTTAAAGAATAGTTTTAAAATACTGACTTCTAATAAATCCCTCATATTAAAGAGACACTACCAAGCTATTCTGTTTTGCCTCTGCACTCTCTACCACTCACTGGGACACAGAGTAATCTCTCAGCTTAATTAACTAAGCGTGATCTTCTCCTTCTCCTGCTAACCTACTTATCTCACTTCAGTGAACTGATCATAAGATGAAATCTGCGAGGGACAGAGGGGGATTGGGCAGCTTTATCGGAATACTACAAACATAACACAAACTGGAAACATGGAGTTGGTAGTGGTGCAGTGAGTGATGATGTTTCTAAACGTACTGACAGGTGTGTTTGATGTGCTGGCCAACCAGAAGCTTGAAACATACAATTTCACTAAGGTAACAATGTTTCATAAGCGACATCACTTCACAATACTTTCTGCAAGACCTCGAATGGCGTGAGCCTCTTCAGCTGGATGAAGATAAAATAGAAACAGTTCCATCAAAGGTTTTTTTTTTGTTTACATAATTAAGCCTTAAGAATTCAGAATAACTCACGCTCAGTTCATTTTACACTGGTTCCTGTCAGTCTCTGTCCCCCATCTCAAAATATTACTGCTAGGCCTCTCACATGCGCCCGAATAAAGAGATCATATCGTATCTGTTTTAGCTTCTCTCCACTGGTTTCCAGTGAGGTTTAAAATTGATTTCAAGGTCCTCCTGTTTGTATACCACTACAGGATGTATGTCTACAGAATGTGGTCCTGTAGACCTAAAACTAAAGATGACTCACTCACATTTTTGCTCATCCTAGCCTCGGTGCCTTTTTCTGTTTAGCACCTACTAACATGTGCTTTACTTATTTCTTATCTATTCCCTTGCTTTGTTTTTCTTTATTCATTCTAATTTTTGTACAGCATTTCTTTTTTTTTTTAATAGATATTCTTTATAAATAAAATTTAAGTCGAGTCATGTTTTACAGTCTTGATACATGCTGGAATTACTGAAAGAGCATCTCAACCTCTGACCTCATTAAAATCGAGAAAAACTCTTAAAGCTGGAGGCAAAAATCAGTTTTTTTCAAGTGTGTAATAAGAAACTACAACGAGATTTTATGAATGATTGTGACGTGTTGATTCCATCTCTAATTTATACATAATGTCTGTGACATCACGAGCCTCATTTTGCTAAAATGCACCTTGTTGTCGGACATTAGACACCAACAGTTATTATATTTTCAGTTACTGCCAGTTAATAAGGCAGAACATGCTGCATGCTGCATGAGTGAACGGTAAGAGCGACATTTAAGACAGCAGCCATTTCCACTTATGTTTGGCATGCTAAAGATGAGCTGCCGAAGTTCAGACTGAGCGTCAGAACGCGGAAGATGCTGATCTGCTGTGGTTTTCCCACAAAATCAGCTCTAGGGTTTACAGAGGATGGTCCAAATAAAGAGAAAACATCCATTGAGCGGCAGTTCTCTGAGAATGTTTGCTAATGCCAGAGGTAATAATATAATCAGACTGCTTCAAGCTGCTGGGATGGAAACAGTCACACAGGATGCCACTCCTATGAGTCAATAACAGGAAATTGATGCTATTGTACCACAGAGGCTTTATCTAGTATTTCTGCTGCAAAATAATGATAATAATAATGATGGATTAGATTTATATAGCGCTTTTCAAGGCACCCAAAGCGCTTTACAATGCCACTATTCATTCACTCTCGCATTCAGTGCTAGGACCAATTCTGTTTACATTATACATGCTTCCCTTAGGCAGCATCATTAGAAGACATAGAATACATTTTCACTGCTATGCCGATGACACCCAGCTCTATCTGTCCATGAAGCCAGATAACACACACCAATTAGTTAAACTGCAGGAATGTCTTAAAGACATAAAGACCTGGATGGCCGCTAACTTTCTGCTTCTTAATTCAGATAAAACTGAGGTTATTGTACTCGGCCCTGAAAAGCTTAGAAATATGGTATCTAACCAGATTCTTACTCTGGATGGCATTACCTTGGCCTCCAGTAACACTGCGAGGAACCTTGGAGTCATTTTTGACCAGGATATGTCCTTCAATGCACATATTAAACAAATATGTAAGACTGCGTTCTTCCATTTGCGCAACATCTCTAAAATTAGAAATATCCTGTCTCAGAGTGACGCTGAAAAACTAGTTCATGCATTTATTACTTCCAGGCTGGACTACTGTAATTCATTATTATCAGGATGTCCAAAAAACTCACTGAAAAGCCTTCAGCTGATCCAAAATGCTGCAGCAAGAGTCCTGACAGGGACTAGAAAGAGAGAGCATATTTCTCCTGTTTTGGCTTCCCTTCATTGGCTTCCTGTTAAATCCAGAATTGAATTCAAAATCCTGCTCCTCACATACAAGGTCTTAAATAATCAGGCCCCATCTTATCTCAATGACCTTGTAGTACCATATCACCCTATTAGAGCACTTCGCTCTCGCTCTGCAGGCCTACTTGTTGTTCCTAGAGTATTTAAAAGTAGAATGGGAGGCAGAGCCTTCAGTTTTCAGGCCCCTCTTCTGTGGAACCAGCTTCCAGTTTGGATTCGGGAGACAGACACTATCTCAACTTTTAAGATTAGGCTTAAAACTTTCCTTTTTGCTAAAGCATATAGTTAGGGCTGGACCAGGTGACCCTGAATCCTCCCTTAGTTATGCTGCAATAGACGTAGGCTGCCGGGGGATTCCCATGATGCATTGAGTTTTTCCTTTCCAGTCACCTTTCTCACTCACTATGTATTAACAGACCTCTCTGCATTGAATCATATCTGTTATTAACCTCTGTCTCTCTTCCACAGCATGTCTTTTATCCTGTCTTCCTTCTCTCACCCCAACCGGTCGCAGCAGATGGCCGCCCCTCCCTGAGCCTGGTTCTGCCGGAGGTTTCTTCCTGTTAAAAGGGAGTTTTTCCTTCCCACTGTCGCCAAAGTGCTTGCTCATAGGGGGTCATATGATTGTTGGGTTTTTCTCTGTATCTATGAAGCGCCTTGAGGCGACTTATGTTGTGATTTGGCGCTATATAAATAAAATTGAATTGAATTGAATTCACACACTGGTGGAGGCAAGCTACGGCAGTTGGTAGAGTCACTTTGGTGTGAACAAAACAAAA